TTAAAAATACTGTTTTTCTTGGGCTGGGTTCTGGCTCAGTGGTAGAGTGCTTGCCTAGCATGTGTGAGGCACTGGATTCAAATCTCAGGACCACATACAAATAAATAAAAGGAAACGTCTATTGACACCTTAAAAAACAAATAAATAAATAAGACTGCTGTTTTTCTTAAAAAGGAAATCACATTCTTTATAGTGTTTTCTAATTTTTTTCATTTACTGATACTAAATACACTGTAGAGCAGAGGTTAAAAATTATGTTAAGGCAATCTATTTACACTGTCATAGTATTTTTCTTAAATATTTTATGACATGAATTTTTTTTTTTTTTTTTGCGGTGCTGGGGATTGAACCCAGGACCTTGTGCATGAAAGGCAAGCACTCTACCAACTGAGTTATATTCCCAACCTATGACATAATTTTTGAATGTAATAATTGAGCATAGTTGATCTGTGATCTAATGGAAGAAATACTGAAATTATGTATTTATTGAAAGTAATTTTCTAAATCAATAATAAACATTATATACTTTTCAAACCTGAATACCAGAAGTTCTGCTTTTAATTTTTGCTTATTGAATTGAAAGTTAAAAACAAAAAACAATTTCAGTTGGATATTCAGAGAACTTACTGATACAGTTGTGATGTTTTCAGTTACTTGTGGTCAGCCTGGGTCTGAAATATTACGCGGAAAATTCCAGAAATAATTTGAAAGCTTTAAATTGTGTGTAGTTCTGAGAAGTACAATGAAATCTCTGGCCATCTTGCTCTTAGGGTTATGAAATTGACACTGTGTTATAGGAGTGCGTATGTTCAAGTAGCCCTTATTTTATTTTATTTAATAATGGCCTTAGAGCACAAGAGTAATGATGCAGGAAATTTGGATATGCCAGAGAAAAACTGTAATAGACTTCCTTTAAGTGAAAAGGTGTATAGAAACAAATCACACCTTGAAGTTACTAAGATCTATAGTAAGTTGTTGTTAATCTCTCACTATGCCTAATTTATAAATTAAACTTTATCACAGGTATGTATGCATAGAAAAAACATAGTATATGTGGGTTTTGGTACTCTCAGTTTCAGACATCCATCCATTGGGGTCTTGGAACCCATGCAAATAAGGGACACTACTGTACTTTGTAACCTTTGTATTAATGCAGTATGGGTAGAAGATGAGCTTTTTGTTGTAATTGTTTGTCTCCTTCACAATTATTAAAGTATTTAAATAATCAGAAAACATTTTAACTTAATTGGGATTTGTTTCCTTTTATTTACTAGATTACTATTCTCTTGTAAATTGTAGAAATTAGTATTTTAAAAAGCCAAAGACTTATAGATTAGATATTTCTAAGTTTTTATATAACTACAATATTGAAAAGATTTTATGGTTTTAGTCATGTTGATGATGATCATGACTGTCATTTATTGAGGACCTCTGTTGTGCCATATGACACTTTTATTATATGTGTTGTTTCTTACCCATATCTTAACCTTACTAAGTTGTTATTTTTCCTGTTGGAGATTTTCAAACTAAGACTAAATTTAAGTTACTGAGACTATAGTATTTATAAATGGCATAGTTGAGTTTTGAGCCCAAGTCCATTTGGTTTTAAATTAGGTCCTTGTTATGGAAATTTTTTTATAGATTTATAAATAGCGTTTTGAAATTGAACATATTTTTTAGGTATACCTTCCTGCAGTGGGAATGGTGTGTTGTTAAGGTAGTCATTCAGAAAATTTATTTAGCTTTTTGAATACGTCAGAATTAGGTTTGTTGTTCAATATATGTATATAATATAGCAAAATCTTCTCTAGTATAAAATATTCCATTATCTCATCAGGTAGACCTTTTCTCTTATGTTTAAAGTGACTAGTACAGGATTGTGTTAAATCAATTAGATTATTTGATATTTTTTGAAATAAATTTGCCATACTGTACGCAAGAATTGTTTGCCCTTTAGATATAGCTGTGAATTAAAGCAAATCTCAAATCTAGCATACATTATTATTCTATAAAAACAAGGAAATAGATTTAATTATTCCAATGTAGGAAATATCTACAAAGATGATTGTCAGAAAAATAAAGACATAAATAATCTAACATTTACAATGAATATTTAGCTAGTATAAAAATGGTTAATGAAAGATGACATTTGTGCATTATGAATTGTTTTGTATATTTGTAGGAAACTCTTTAACATGACTAAAATTAATTTTAAAATACTTAGAATAGAATAGAAATGTAAATTAGAATAGCAATTATTCTTAAATAATTTCTCTTTCCAGTTCATTTACTTGGTATATATCTATATTATACACAGTGTACATTGTTCATATTTAGAATATAACTTCTGAGGAGTGTATTTGATATATCTCTGTTTAGAGTCATAGTTGTTGAACATTCTGTGGATAAAGTCTGGTGCCATTTAAAGAGACATGGACTGTATTGAATAATTTTGATAAAAACTGTTCCTTATTATGGTGTGAGAAAAGGAACACTGAAATGAGAGTATCAAGGCTGGAGTTCTATTCCTGCTCGGCTGCTGCTTTGCTGTGTGATCTCCTGTGTGTGCTTCTTCCTTGTAGTAAACCTAATACAAACTGTGTTCAGACACATCTAGTACAAATGAGGAATGGGATAAAGAATTGAATGTAAGTCAGCAGCATCACTCCCAAATCCCTAACAGAGTAAAATAACTGAGACCAGGAAGTTCAGGCTAATCAGCTGAATGTGGACCAAAATGGAAACCATGGTCTTTCAACAGAAATAATATTCTATATGGTGGTTTTGGACCAATTTTTGAAAAGTATTTTTGTTTATGTTTTAGGTGCTGGGGATCAAACCCAGCCCTACACATGCCAGGCAAACATTCTGCCATTGAATGAGCCACATCCCCAGCTCTTGAAAAGTATTTTCAATGCAAATTTATGAGCCAAGTAACTCTGAACAGGGTAATTATGCTAAGCCTTGGTTTCTTCACCTGTAATATGAGGAACATGATGGCTCCTACCTCATAAGGTGCATGTGAGAATTAAGAAATCATCATGAAAAGGGCTTGGCATATACAGTAAGTGCTCAGTACTTGCTGTTGTTATTATTGCTTTACTACTGCTACTAGAAAGGTTGAAGCCACTTTCAAGCAAAATTTATTTTGAAAACAATTCATTTTAAGTTGGGGTTCCTCCTTTCCACTACAGGGTTAAGCATTTCTCCTTTCTTTACCTTTTTAAACTCATGGGTGGAGGAGGCAAGAATCAACTGGTTCTAAACTACTGCTGGTGACTTCTTGTAAAATGTTTCACCAAAGCTTATTGGAGAAGTGAAGCTTGCTCAGTGTTTTAAACACATCAGGAATAAAGAGGTTCAGAGCCATCCTGTGGTCTTTAGGAGTATTTGGTCCTGCTGACATTTCGTACCAATTTAGGTTGTTTTTGCTGCTGTTTTGTTATCATCACATGTATTACAATGAATTTTTATCTTACATCTATCTGTGAAAGTAACATAGTTTTCTAGAAGAGAAGCTTGCTGGGCTAAAAAGATGTGCTTTTTATATTTTGTTAGATTTTGTGAAGTTGTCCTAAACAGAGGTTGTACTGGTTTAAACTTACACCAACATTGCATTTTTATTTTCCCATATTTTCTTCCAGTTTGTTGAAAACTTTTATTTTGTTTATAATAATCTCGGTAGTCTGGTAATCTTATTTTTTTAATAACATGTCTGTCACAGTGAAATATTTTTTAATGTGTTTTAAAATTCTCTCTCTCTCTCTCTCTCTACACATACACATACACACACATACACATATAAATATATGCTTTGCCTATTTATCTTTTGGCTTATTATATCCTAAGAGATTTGTAGGAATTTTATATATTTTAAACAATTAAACCTTTGTGATATGTTCCAGTTTTTTTCTTAGTGTGTTTGAATTTTGGCTTTTTTCATAATGTTTGTTGTTGTAACAGAAGATTTAAAAGTCTTCATATAGTAAGATGAATTTTATAGTTTAAGGGCTTTATTGAATTATTCTTGGAACTTTAACACTGTGAGATAATAAAAAAGCTTTTCCATGATATTCTTTTAAAAAAATTTTATTAGTTGTTAGTGGATCTTTATTTTATTTGTTTATTTATATGTAGTGCTGATAATTGAACCCAGTGCCTCACACTTGCTAGGCAAGTGCTCTACCACTGAGCCACATATTTTATATTTAAATTTCTGAACTATTGGGCATTTATTTTAATGGACAGAGTAAAGAAGGATTAAATTTAATTCCTCTCCAGAATCTTTGGAAGATGATAAGGGATTTATGAGATAGAACTTAATGGTCCTTTCATTTTGGAAATGATTATTTAGGTCAGAGTTTGCTATGGATTTGTTTGGGGTAGGAATTATCAGACTATTTTACAAGATATTTCCATGTAAAATGTTCAGAAAATTTTTCAAATCACTTGCTATCAAGAACAATTTGTTTTCTAAATCTGTTTCTGGCATTGATAATAAATTTTCCTTTTAACAACAAAACTAAATCTATATAAAATTTCAAAACAGCACAGTATGTATTATGCAAGGTATAGTTTTATGGAAATTTAAGGATGTTGTATAAGCAAAGTTAGCTTGAAGTTCATTTTCTGTATTTTCAAGTGTGAAAATTTGAAGATAGCCAACTAATGTACCTCCCCGACCCCCACCCTTCAGTGGACAGTCAGGACTCAATTGCTGCTCAATTGAAGACAGATAATCTTGACAACTGACATATCAGTGGTTGGCACCAACATGCCAACATTTGTGTTATAGACAGTGTCATAGATGCTGTAATTTTCACTTTGTTTCCCAGTTAGCAATTTTATTGCCACCATTGATGCCTGTAGCTTAGATATGTAGAAATTTTGCTTATTTTTATATTTTATGTAATTGTCAACATATTTCAACTTGTGACATTTATGTTTTTCTTTATTGGACAGTGGACAAGCTGGGCTTTTCTGTCTTCTTCTGGATACCTGAGCAGAGGTGTACATGGCAGTTATTATGAGAGGAAGGAAGGACTGGAGTAACATTTGGAGGCATGAGTAAAGTGGGCAGGTCTCTAGCCAAGGCATATCTCTATTAACTGTGATCCTCCCTGAGATCTGTAACTGTGCCTCTCATTGTGCCTGGCCCAGGAGGCCTTTATGTGAAGTTATTTTTTCTAGTTTTCTATTTAACTTTCTCAATTGTGAGATCACCTAATGATACAAATAAAAGTGTGCTCTCTGAAAACACTTAGTTTCAACTTACCAACTAAAAACTTTGAGAAGAGAAAAATAGTTATTAAAAGTGAATGGAAACCCACCTTCATTTGGACTCTGCTTTTGGGTATCTAGGTCACAGAGCCTTAGGCAGTGGGAGGGTCTGAGGTGTGACAGGTGCGCAGCCAGACGCAGTGAGTGTGCTGCCCAGGATTTCCTGTCTTACCTTGTCTGTAATGAAGCCAGCACCATAACCTACCTCTGGTGTAGCAGCCACATATCTGAGTGTTCATCAGAAGAGCTGAACTACCTGAATATTGATGTTCTTTATCCCATGACCTGAGGATTAAAATTTTAAATACAAGATGGAGATGGAAAGTGAGAGTAGTATCTCAGGAGATGACAGTGTCTTTTGGTTGGATTCTGAAGTTATAACTCAACTGACAGATGGTGAAGAAGGAGAAAGGGAAGAGATTTTCAGGTAATTAGAAATTTGTTTTTCTCACTCTCTTGTTTTCATTGTTTGTCCCTCTGCCTGCCCCCCTCTTATCCATCTTCTGCATTTTAGTCTGTTTTTCAGTAAGACTTTCCTTTCTTTGGGAAAGGTTTGGGGTGAGGGGAATAGGTTTCAAGTTGTATCTAGCATTCCTCATTCCATAACTTGCCCTGAGCTTGTAAAATGCATTTTCAATGACTTGTTAGAACACCAGGAAGAGAAGGTGTTAGACAGGTTTTGTAGTAGCATTTCAGGAATTTCAAGTAGAGACTCAGAATGAACTGCTACCCTTTCCTATGTCTGATTTGTATCTAATACATTTGATCTGAATTTGTATCTAATAGACTTTTCATCATCTTTTTCTTAGAATGTGTTCCTGTGTGTATGTGTGTGTGTCTGCCTGCTGGAGGTTGTTGTCTTTTGTGTATATGTGAAACATTTTGATTAAGTAAAATTTGGTTTTTATGGTTTTGATCCTTACTCCTGTCTCTGATCTGATATCTTACTCCCTTATTACTCTACTCCCAAGTCTTTCTGTATTTTTTAAAAACTCTCTTGTAGTAATTTACAGTTAAAGTTTTCAAGTATACCTCCTGGGTAAGCAGCCCTGAGAGTTAAGTGGCATTGTTTAGCAAAGAGGTCTTACTATCTTATAGAAACAGTGCCAGTTTATTATTTCTGTTGAACTATTACAGTATTTAGGAGGCAATATTCTTGCTCTTCTTTTTCATACTTGATGCTTTCGGAGGCATTAAAAAAATCTCTGGATGAAATTTAAAGTTTATGCTACATATTATCACTGCCACCCAAGTGGGCAATTAAAAATCTTTTACAATTTTATGATGACTGCTTGGGGTATGATTTTCAACACATACTGTCTTTATGTTTATTGTTCAAAAAGAGTCTCAAGTTCAAGGATTACTTAATCCAAAGTTTATCTTTTAAAGTCTGTTTTTAATGATAGGATGAATTAAATATTAGGAACTCTTGGTAACCATATTGAATTTGTTAATTAAGGGTTAAAATAAATGAGAAGTCTATTTAAAAATTTAAAAGAATAAATTGATGTTCAAAATATGAAAGTGAATTTTTTCATTAGCACATTTTTTGTCTCAGTGTTCTTAATCTCCCATAATTTCATTAAACCTTTCATATTTGATCAAATCTTGAATCTTCCAAGATGTTCTGATATTACACATGATCCTCATTTTTAATATGGTCTCTCACTAGCAGTATTTGTTTGTTTTATTTGTATTGAAACTGTTTAACCTGATTTGTTTAAGTTATTTTGGGATATTTGTCAAAGGAAAAAACAACTTGGAACTTAATTTTATTGCTGCTTTACAACAGATTTGGTACTGTAATGCTAGATTTATTTGTGAAGCACCTTCAGTCTCTCTGGGATTTTCTTTTGACACTTAAAAGCAAATCTGTGTAAGATTGAGTTTGTCTTTTCCTGGGGAATATATAACAGCATATTTATTCTGAGAAACTGAGCTAGAATTTGCATTGTTTTAGGAAATTATGATACCACAGGAATTTCTTTTCTGTTTACAATTATATTTCCTACCACCATAACTCTCCCGAACCGAATATGTCTTTCAGATTTGATCTTATTTTATATACAAATGCCAGAAAGAGATGTGGGTAAAGCCTGATTTCATGCAGTGTTTCTTACCTGTTCAGCAGTAAGGCACGAGGAAATGTGGCTGCAGAGGGCTTTCACAACATCTACAGTATGTCCTGTAGAAATGCACAACAGAAAAAATGCACGTGGGTGTAGAGAGTGAAGAGTTGGATAGGAGGAGCTGCATTTGTAACTTGGGAAAACTAAATAGTAAACTCGGTGTTGTATGAGAGTTGTTTTATAAAATTATTTTAATTAAAAGATATACAACAGAATTTTAATGTGTGTTTAAAATTTGTGCTAGTTACCTATTAATTCAAACTGTTACGTTGGTTGTGTTTGTACACATGCACAAGTGTGCACTCACACAGTTAATGAGATGAGGGCAAAACATTGTGCACTCTTTCCCCGAATAGCTTCTAAGCTAGGTTTTAAATTTACTCATAGCACCATGTCTCATAGCTAGGAGAGGGAAGTCATCCTGCACATAGAAGGTAGGTTCCTGTAGTGCCAGCCTCCACTGTTTTGGGAGGAAGTATATTGTTCTTTAGTTAATATTTGTTCATTAACTTTTAGAATATCTTTTATTTTTGGACATAATTGAAGGAAAAGATATTCTTATTTCTAGCACTGTAAGACATTGCCTAGTCTCTTTCATGGCAGTCATTCAAAGTTTTACTACTGACTCGCAGATATCTCATTTTCTTTTTTAAAATTGATTTTATTTTTTTGAATGCATGACAGCAGAATTCATTACAATTCTTATTACCCATAATGAGCACAATTTTTCATATCTCTGTTTGTATATAAAGTATGTTTACACCAATTCATATCTTTATACATGTCCTTTGGATAATGATATCCATCACATTCCACCATCATTGCTAACCCCTGCCCCCTCTCATCCGTGTGCCCTATCTAGAGTTCCTCTATTCCTCCCATGCTGTGATTTCTCATGTGCACTATGAAGTTAATAATCTGTTCTTATCACTCTGGTAGAATAGTTCTTAGACTATTTAGACTCCTTAGCATGTAATAAGTAGTCTTTAAGAACATTAGAGGATTCCTGTAAACAGGAAGGAGCAATATAAAGCAGAAAATAAAAAAAGTATTAATTCTTCAAAGGTTGAACAATTTCTCCCCTTCTACCCTCTCCCCACTCCACTACAGAATCTTGCTGAATTGCCCAAACAGGCCTTGAAATTGTGATCACCCACATCAGTCTTCCAAGTAGCTAGGTGGTACAGATGTACATCACCACAACTGGCTTAGAAATAAAACCTTTATTTAGGGGTTATTATATGCAATGTCCTAGGCCAAATATGGTAAATACAGTAATTTATTTGTCAGCTGCTTATCAAGCTTATAAAGTAAATATTTTTTTATTTTCCAGATGAGGAATTTATGGCTCCATGAGTCACATACTTCACATTGTCATAGTAGAGTCAAATTTTAGTTAAATTAGATATTTTAGTTTTTTTCTTATTTAGTTTTTTTAATTTGTTCTTTTTAGATATTCATGACAGTAGAGTGTGTTTTGACATATTTTGACATACATAGAGTATAACTTATTCCAGTTAGGATCCCATTCTTGTGGTTGTACACAATGTGGAGTTAAGTTGGTCGTGGATTCTTATGTGAACAAGGAAAGTTATGTCTGATTCATTCTATTGTCTTTTCTTATTCCCATGCCCTCCCTTCCCTTGATTCCTTATTATCTAATCCATTGAGCTTCTATTCTCCCTCTCCCTACACTATCTTGTTATGTGTTAGCATCCACAATATCAGAGAGAACATTCACCCTTTGGTTTTTGGGGACTGGCTTATTTCACTTAGCATGATATTCTCTAGTTCTATCCATTTCATGGCAAATGCCATAATCCCATTTTTCTTTATGGCTGAGTAATATTCCATTGTGAATGTCTACCACATTTTCTTTATCCATTCATCTTTTGTAGGGCACCTAGGTTTGTTCCATAGCTTGATATCTTGGTTTTCAAATTCTTTCTTTGAAGCTTTTCTTTGCACAGTGATGTATAGAATCTATATGTTGATAATATAAAAGTCATGAACACAATATTGCCTTAATTTTAAAGATTCAATTTCTAGGCCTGATGCCTAATATCATTAATTTTATAATATCATCTTGTTTAATGTTCTTTAATATCATGATATTGGTTGATGGACAATCTGACATTTGAAACAGGGATAATACAGTGCATAATTGAACTGTGTTTTTACAATTTGTGTACTTTTAATTTATAGAAGCCCAAATCCCTCAGTCATGTTTTCACTTGTATCTGCTTTTAAGAATCAGTTTTAAGTGAGAAGAGAAACTTCTAATCATCCAATTAAGCTGGATGATTTGGTGATGAGCATGCTTTAAATTTTGGGGGAATTCCTTTAATGGTTTGTAGCATTATAGGACTAACATTTGATGCACTTGGTTGACTGAGTTCTTTATTACTTCTCTTCTTACTTGGAATGATGCAACAAGTTAGAAGATACTACTCAATCCAAATAGATAATAAGGGCCTGGAAAATAGTGTTAACATTTCTCGTGGGTTCTTGCTTTCCTCTAGGATGATTACTTTAATGGCTAATTCACCTGGAAACTCTGGAAGCTCTTTCATAGATCCCTGCTTTTATTACTGTGACACTTCTGTCTCCTGCAGAAATTCTTGATTTTGGGATTCCCAACCAGTTTTTATAAGCATCGGAAAATGGAGAGTTGTATTAACACTTAACCATGTTAAAAAAAAAATATATATATATATATTTATTTAACAATATCACACCCAGGACCATTGTATGTGGATTGTTCTTCATGGGCATTTCACTCTTAATAATTCAGTTATGTACAATATCAAAAATGGTGTGTACTTTGCCAAGGTATTTCTTTGCTTTATAACCTTGAAGATAAGATCTTGGAGTTAGTTTAGTTAAATAGTTTTTAGTTGTGTTAAATATTCTTTTAACACACTCAATATAACTTTATTAGTGTTAGAAAAATAATGATTTTAATTGTAATCAACAGAGTTGGATGGGAACATCCCTTAATCTTTGAAAATTTTATGCAGTACTGGAGTTTAGCCATTGGTCTGTCTTTATAATTTGTGAAATGAATCTGTCTTAACCATGAGGCATGCTTGTACAAGACTTTCCTGGTATTTCAGTAATTAAGCCCTGTGGGATGGAGTCCAATGTGGGCCTTTCTTAACATCTGTCTATTTGAGTGTTTGATGTTCAGGAGGGGTCTCAGAGCAGAGCAACTATATTAAACTATATATGATTTCCTGGTTTATTAAATTGGTTATTTAAATTTAAAACCCTTATAACCTATTTTTCCTTGATCTTT